CCTCACTTCATTAAAGTCGCTGTTGACATCTTCAAGAAACAAATTCTTTCTCACCTTTGATATCGTGTCCTGCAAAAATGACAAAATAACTCTAACAAATAAATTCATAAACACAACGTTACAAACCCAAGTTGGACCTAAACAGAAACAATTTTTCTAGGGTGAAACTTAAAAAGATGAAAGCGCGCTCACCAGGTGCAATTTCGCCTCAAAGCTTCTAGCACAATGTTTAACAATTGCAAGCATCAGGGCACCACACGAACACCTAATGTTCAATTACAAGAGCAATAAGATATTAAGAGAGGGCCCCATTTAACAACCCAAACACTAAAAAAGCATGAGAGTAAAAAAAAACTCACGTATCGGACTGTTGCACCGAAAACACACTCCTTAACCAACTGTCTACAATTCCCTCCACCAATATAGGGTTGCTTATCTTAAGCAACACCTCCAACGCCTTCACCTACAAGATGTTGCGCAAAGATTACATATCAGAAGACAAACATCATACAAATTAAAACAATATAGTGGACCTTCACTCATCCCACTTACCAAAATCTCTACAATTGCCTCATGCGTAGAGAACGAATCCTCATACATAGAGTCAATCATCCAAATCCTTTGGGATTTTAATTCCAAAGCAAGACAAAACCAATGCTCTGCATTCTTTTGTGGAATCAAAACAGGGACAAATACCTTAATAAAAAAATATATATATAGTGGAACCAAAACAGGGACAAATACCTTAATAAATACACACACACACACACACACACACACACACACACACACACACACACACACACACACACACACACACACACATATATATATATATATATATATATATATATATATTATGAAGCATTAGTTACCCCAAATTCAATCCCACAATGAAGCCTAATTTAAACACAACAAAAACCAAAGATGGCCACGTACACTGTGAATTTGATCTAGAGGATGACTAAGGACACTCCTACAATATTTCTTCCCAAGCACTTTATACTCATCTGTCCCCAAGCATTACAAAATGCTACAAAGCAACATCAAAATAACAAGGGAAAGGTCCACACCCTTTAATTTATCTACTCCCAACGCAAAGAACACTCACCGCATACGAAGGATCTAACATAATCCTTTTCGTAGAATGCTGAGTAGACTAATTTATTGTGTACAGTACAGCCGCCATCCTCGCGTATTGATCACCAACCCTAGCCCTTGGCGAAAGCACACGATAACAATCACGTTATGTTGCATCAATCCCATCACACTCGATCAGTGATGGGCCAGGCCTACAAACAAACAAACATCAAATAATGATGAAACTAAAATTTAAAACACAGAAAATAAATAACCAGAAAATATACCATATAATGGTGCAAATAATCATTAAATGACTGCACTTACGCATTTTCATTCTTCAAATCTCTCCAGCCCTTTACAAAAGCCAGTAGCCTCTTCTCGATCAAACCCAGCTTAGTACTCTTTGCCTTCTCCCCCATATGAGAATTAGCTGACATTTCTAGGCCAGTTCCTCTAGAATGTTTGGAAACCTCATTGTCATTATGTTCTTTCACCCTCGAGAAATGATTCAATGTGTTTCCCATTGTAAAAATATATTCAGTTTTTGGACCCATATTATTTTCCCTCGGACCAGTACTCCCTGTAGTCATATTCTGAGCAAATTCATCGAGATTTCGGTCCATACTCATCCCAGTCATCTTCGACACAAAACTACTAAAACATTTTTCAACAACACCCTCCACAAGGATCTCCAGCTTCGGGGTGAACTTAGCAATCATCTGCAAGATATTGGTTTAAATTCAAATAAGTATACAAGAAGTAACTTATGTACTTAACAGTTACACAAATAACATACATTATTTTACCTTGTCCACCACATCTGTCAACATAGCATTCATCTGCTCATTGTCGGTGAGTAGAGAAACATCCTTTCCCAGACAATCAACATCCCTTGTTACAAGGGGATGCTCCTCACCATACGCTATATCATACGCCTTCAACCAAATACAAGAAAAAACTAAAATCAGAAATGACAACACAAATAAAAAAGCAAAAATATATAATAGCTTCCATTACCAACAACTTCCCATACTCGTCACGGGTAACCTTGTCTTCCATAAGAGTTGCCCTTATCTCGACAGAATTCCACACCGTCACCCTTGGGAACACTCCCCATTACAAAGGTTTACGGTGCAAGTGATCTAGATAGAATATCTAGGAGACAAAGTTTTACATCAATTAATATACATACGCAAATTTATACATAAAAAATTTCAATACAAACAGAAACAATGATAAAAACTCACCATCACAAACAAAAAGCTACCTCCGTAACCGGATCTATACCCATCCCTCATAAACTTTGACTGAAAAGGCCGGGCAGTGTCACAAAGCCAATCCACGGTGAAAGTACACCAATCATACTCATTAGCATGACCAGCCACGATAACACAAGGAATTAGGGAAGATGCCAAGTTAGAAGAATTGGTTGTGGTGCATAGTAGTTTGCCGAGCACCACAGTAAAAAAGGCAACCATGAACTCCTCCTCATGATTCTCTGTCAGCAGCGGCACGGGCTTCTTATCAGTCCCCAATGGACACAACACACTAGAAGCAGCTTTCAAAGATATTGTCTCCTTCTTCAGTCCCGTCCCATAAGCATCGTACATAGACTTCACCAGCATAATCTTCTCTTCGTCTTCACCAATATCCATTGGCACGGGTTTTGACCCCATAGGAATCCCTAGCACACACCTCACCTGCTTAGTACCCAAAGGCAGAATTTCTCCTTCACCAAATACCATAGTCGCATCTTCGCGAACACGGGCCATAAGCCAATAACAGATTTGCCTTGGAATATTCTTCATATCCAACTCCAACAATCCACCAAATCCCATCCGCCTTACTAACTCTTTTCGCTTCGAATCAAAGGCAGAAAATGACTCAACCCGACAGACAATATTCGGATACTGCCACAATTTGCACAACACATTTACATTAATAACACAACAACAGAAGAACAACATTCCAATAAAAATTTTCTTGATCTCAACATTTACCTGTCCGACATTGTCATGATGGGTCTTTAAAACCTCCCCTTTACTCAACACCTTGTTCCCTTCAAGTGTACGAACCTAAATGAATTTTCAGGTAAAGAACACACAAGGTTACACCCCACTAAACAAATAACGAAAACTGCTCTCATTTAAAAACAACTATTTACTAAAACAATTACCTTACGCCGGTGATGACTTCCTTCCCCATTTAATATTCTCTTCCGGGACTTCTGTTTCATGTACTCCATCATCAAGTTCTCCACAAAACCAGAGCTTGAAGCTAACTCGCCTTCACCATTGGTATTATTACTCTTCATTTCCTTGCCATCTTGATCATACTCATCTGATTCCTCATAATCCTCATCAATCTTTCTCTTAGGGGCTACCTTCTTCCCAAGGGCTTGGCTTTTTTGAGGGGTAGGAGCCTTCGACGAAACCCGTTCCTTCTATCCCTGCCCCTTACCTTTACACTTAGAAGGACCACACTTGTTCAAAGAACCACAACCAAGTTAACACCCTTTCCTAATACTACATCACAAAAAATATACATACAAAATTAACAAATATAACTCACCAATCCCTTCTTCCAGCTCATCGAACACACCATTGTCTTCCCCATCCACCCTAACCAACACACCAAAAACCCTTATTAAAAGATTACAATCAGACAAATATTCTAATCACATAGACACCAATCCCTATTCCCACCATTATAAAAAAGCTCAATTGAATATTCACAAAAACACCAATCCCTAATAGCACCATTAATAAATGCTCAATTGAATAATCACACACTTAGGAAACCCTAATTCAGCATTCAAAATGCACATTTGAATATTCAAAAAATCATTCCACCAACAAAAACATAAAGTATTATCACACAAACACCAAACCGCAATTCAACATTAAAAAAACTAAATTCAATACACACACAAACAACAATCACCGACTCCAACATTAAAAATTCCTCCAATTACTTATTCAGACAACCCCTAGATTCACAGTTAATTAAATATAACAAATTCATAAACAAACAATTATCCCTAATTCCTCATGGAGACACTCTCTCCCGCTAATTTAAAATAACCCGGATTAAAATAAAACGCAAACACAAAACTATTCATCACTGTATATCAGATTATAGTTCAAGAACACATGCATTAATTAGGCCCTTTCACACATAAACAAAAATCCACACTCATTCAAGTTTCAATTAATCGTCTTCATTCATCCCGACCCAACAAGCCACATGAGTAACCAAACCCTAATCACAAGTTCACTAATACAACCGTAATTTTAAACTATCGATGTAAAACAAAAACTCAAACTTCAGACCAATACAACAATTTCGAAACAATTTAGGGCAAAGTAAAGACTCAATTATGAAATTCATGAAACCCAATTAACAAACAATTGCAAGTAACACCAACCTTGAAATCCAGGGATGAACCTCGCGATTTCGGTTACCCACCACTCGAGCCCAGACTATAAGCCACGCAAACGCAACGCAGACAAAGATAGGTGATTTAACGAACGAATTAACACTAGAATTCACCAGGCGAGAAATAAAAATAAGGAAGGAAGAGGAGAGAGAGAAGAACAAAATAAAGAACAAAAAATAAGAATGAAGGGAGGAGAGAGACAGACTCCCCATTACCAAACAAATTGAATATGGCTCTTCTACCAAAGACAATATAATACTATTTTTTATTCAAGTACAAAAACGGGATGACACTTAGCAAAACGGAGGTGGTACTTAGGAATTTTCAAAATACAAGTTAAAAGACAATTGTACCCCTCGTTATGTATTATGAGATACATAACTAACATCCCTTAGGAAGGCCTTTTGATGACTAAGCTAAAAATGTTTGATAGAGAGAGAAAGTAGTCATACTTACAAATTCCAAAGGGGACCAACAATTAAAGAGGGAAAAAATATGGGGGTAAAATAGAAAGTCGTTAAAATTGTAATATAATGTGTATTATTTAATCTAAAAATGTGAAATGTGACAAATATTCATGGAGCATTTAAAATTGCAAAAGTGACAATCAAAAGGGGATGGAGAGAGTAACTTTTTATAAAATTTTATTTATTTTTATTGTTTTTTATTTTTTTGACCAATTACAGGCCACGTGTAAGATAACTTTTTATAACAGGTTACATGATCGGTTAGGATAATTTAAAGCGAATTGGGATTAAAGATCGGATTATTTAAAAATAACCCAAAAGTGGAATTATTTTGAGCGGATGTCCAAAAGTGAGATTATTCTATACAATTTCTCCTTTGTAAATTTGTTTTTAAAGCGAATTAGGGGTAAGGCTAGGAAATGGCATAGCCCATGAGCTTGCTTTGCTTAGTAGTAGTTTCAATGAGTTTCGTGTTTGGCTTGAAGAGTATCATCCGGAATTACATGGGGTGATTTGTAATGACCTTGAAAACTTGTTGATTTAATAAAGTGCTAAGCTTGATGGTTTTCAAAAAAAAAAAAAAAAAAAATTTATTTTTAAAAAAATTACGAAATTACCAAAGTATCCCTGCGGTAGGATTTGGGCTGAGACACACCGGAGTAGAGAGTCTTCCTCTTTCTTTCATTTCCCTTGCTGATTCCCAAATCTTGAAGCTGCGAAAAAACATTCATCAATTGTCAAGGTAAGCTCTCATCTTTCTACCTTCTTCTTAAATGGCATAAATCACTTTCCCTTACATTTTTCTTTCACTTCTTTATCATAACCTTGCTTATTTCTATTTCTTATTACTTTGAATTTATTTTTTGTGCATTTAATTAACATTTCTCAACATTGAACTATTGCTTATTTTTTGCTTCATAGTCTTACTGATTCAACTGTATAAATTCAATCCGACGTCGTTTCTAAAGACCCTTGTTCAGAAAATGCTGTTAGTGCTGAATTGAGTGGTTGTGTTCTTGAAACCCTAGTTGAAGAAGAGGGTTTGAGGAGAGAGCAAGAATCTGAGGGTATGGAGGTTGATAATGTTGGTGAGCATTTGAATGATAAAGGAGAGGCTAGTACTTTAAAGGGTGAATTGGGTTCTTTGAATGATGCTTGTGTTGAAAAAGAAAGCAAGAATCAAGAGAACCCTATTAAGGCAAATTTCAATTCTTTTGCTCAGCAGTTATTTCCGAATCCAAATCCTGTTGATGTTGGCAGAAGGGGTAAGGAAGTGGAGACGAGGAAATCTGTAGAGATTCAATCAGGGGTGGTCAAAAGTCAGGCTGCCACCATTGATAAGGTGGAAGTAGGAGATTTTTCGGAACATAAGGGAGTGAGTGTTGTTGTAGATTTGGATGTGTGTGTTGGAAAAAATAAGAAAAAGGGTAAAAACAAAGGTGGGTTTTGTGCATCTGATATAGTTTGGGGCAAAGTTAAGAGCCATCCTTGGTGGCCAGCTCAGATATTTGAACCTGGGGATGCGTCGGAGAAGGCTAGGAAGCATTTCAAGTCGAAAGGTTATTTTGTGGGCTACTTTGGGGATCAAACTTTTGCTTGGAATGATGAGGCAAAGTTGAAACCTTTTGCCCCAAATTTCTCCCAGATGGTAAAACAGACTCAAACGGAATCTTTTCGACATGCTGTGGATTGTGTTTTGGTTGAGACCTCTAGGCGGGTGGAATTTGGTCTCTCTTGTCATTGTATTGTTGACGATGTGTACAACCAATTAAAAACTCAAGTTGTTGAAAATGATGGAATCCGTGAACAATCAAGAATTCGAGAAGGAGGTGACAGATTTTATACTGCAGCATCTTTTGAACCATTGAATTTTCTTCATTATGTAAAAGATTTTGCACAAGAGCCATATGGTGATGTTGACCGACTAGAACATGTGGTAGCTCGAGCTCAAACGGCAGCCTATTATAGATGGAAGGGTATTTATCATCTGGCCGAATTTGGATTGTTGATAGGGTATGTGAATAATGAGGCTAATGCTCCAGTCGTTGCTGAAAAAGAGAATTCTGAAGGGATTGTTGGTGGCAATCCTCCACCAGTAACCATTAAAGAGGATGATAACAGGCCTCAAAAAAGGAAGAAAACATCTAATGATAGGGGTCATGCGACAAAAAAGGTCAGGTGCTTGTCTGACTTGATAGGTAAGAAGAGCGTACAAGAGGAAGATGACAAGGGGACTAAAAGAAAATTAGGCAGTAAATCCATCTCATCTTCTGCCAGGAGACAAAAAGAGGTCAAATCTTTTCCTAATGACTCAACTCCCTCAAGAACTAAGGAATCCAGTCCTCTGGGAACAACTATGAAAGTGAAAGACCCAAAACCGTCTTTTAGAGTAGGAGAAAGCATTCTAAGAGTTGCAGGTCAACTGAGCCAGTCATCGCCTTTACTCAAACATGATGTGTCCTCGCATACAAAAACTAGCAAAGATGAAGGTAACAACAAGCAATGCAGCAAACTCACTTCTGAGTATGCCTCTATTGATGCAATTCTTTCAGAACTACACTTGGCTGCTATTGAACCCCTCAAACAATACAGTTTGTTGAGTAAGATGGTCACTTTCATTTCCGTTTTTAGAAATTCAATTGTTCCTGACATTGAGCTCTTGCAGAAGCATGAAAAGTCTGGGGAGGAAGATACAAGTGACAGTCCTAATGAAGTACTCTCTGGGTCAGGACCTGCTGAAATAGATCCAGTGGGGTGTATTTCTGGTATGAAGTCTAAATCAAAGGCATCTGAATCTGAAATTACGACAACATCAGTCGTCGAAGGTGTAGAGGATGCTTGTTGCACGAACCAAACCATCGAAATCTTTGAGCAACAAACTTTCTTGAGTGAGATTGTAATTAAGCCTGAACATTCTGAGGTAGATGGAAGTTCTGTCGGTTCGCAGGAGATGGAGTCTACAGTTTCATCACCTCCTCAGCATTTTGGATCTGAAAATGGTACATCAGAAGGGGGGCTATTTGATGTGAAAAAGCAGCTGGAAGATTCACCAACAGCCTTAACTTTGAAATTCGCTGACATGGATTCTATTCCTACGAAAGCCAAATTAATAAAAATTTTCAGTCACTATGGTTCTTTGAAGGAATCAGAAACTGAAGTATTGGCCAAAAAACTTTGTGCCAGGGTGGTATTCAAGAGACGTTCAGATGCTGAAACAGCCTTCAGTAGTTCAGGGAAGTTTGAAATCTTCGGACCTTCACTTGTTTGTTATCGGCTTAACTATGCCCCATCTCCACGCAAATCTCCTTCCATTGAAGCTAAATGTAGAAGGGAAGACTGAACACTGAGGTAATCCCGTCTAGATATTCTAGCCACATTGCTGTCAACTTGTTATTAGGTAATTCTACAAAGTATGTTCAGTTTTTTCATCTCTGTAGGTTGCTAAGCTAAGGGTACAGCTAGGAAGATGACTTTATAATGTAATATCTTTTTAAGAATTTTCTATCTATGACCTTTAGTATTATTTGTGCTTTCTAACTGCATAGCTTAATGGAAGTTAAGATTCCCTGTTTTAAGGTACTCGATTGCATATCGATGACACCCTCTAGAATCATAGTGGGTGATTTATTTTTCTATTACATCGTTTAATCTAATATGTTCTTTCTTCCAACTTTTATTTTATAGTGTGTCTCTACACATCAATAATTAATGTTCTGTCATGCTGTATAGGCTTTGTAGAAGCCTTTGTAGAAGATCTTGTGCTGAAGGAACCATCTCATTAGTTTAACTCTTTTTGGGATAATAATAGTGCCATCATAAGAAATTTTTTAATTTTTAAGTTCTATCTTCATTCCAGCTTAAATGTTGGATTTTGGATGAAGTATTATAATTTGCTAACCAATATTACTTGATTTCTTCATAGAGAGAGAGAGAGCGAGCATTTCCTGGTTAATCCAAGGTCTTATTATCTCCTGAAGGCTTTGCTCCAAATCTCTTCAAAATTTTACAAAATGATAAAAGAGGTAGAAACCAGCTGGTGCTGAAGCTTAATCCTTTGGCCTTTTCCACTCCCTTCTTACCAATGTGTGATAAATACCTGGTTAATCCAAGGTCTTATTATCTCCTGAAGGCTTTGCTCCAAATCTCTTCAAAATTTTACAAAATGATAAAAGAGGTAGAAGCCAGCTGGTGCTGAAGCTTAATCCTTTGGCCTTTTTTCACTCCCTTACAATGTGTGATAAATATTATCCTTGACAGTGAAACTAAGGTTCTGGTGGATTGATCTTTATGCCTATGCCACAGAGTTGCATAATTTGCCAACGTATAAAAATTGAGTTTAATCACATTCTTGGATGATGAATCTATAGACGAAGATGCTCTGGTTTATATTGCTAACTAGCTTCCCCCTACTGGTGGTTCAAGTTAATTACCAACACCCATCCGCTGGTGAGTTTGCAGTATTATGGTATGACTGACAGCCTGAGGATGGTTGTTTAGCTTCTTTTTCTAATGTTGTTCACTGCTTGGTTTTATGTGCTGCGTTAATAGAATAATAGAGTTATGATACGCCTAAAGCCTTAATTAGTTTGTATGCATCAAATTTGTCGGCTAATAGAGTTATGATACGCCTAAAGCCTTTATTAGTTTGTATGCATCAAATTTGTCGGCTAATTCAGGTGTAAAGATATTATTATGGCATCAAAAACTGGAGATTCTGGCTCCATTATTGATACCATTGTTGCTCTACATTATTGCTTCAATTCCTTCCATTTTTATCTCTTTTTTCTCCTTTAATTTAATTATATTTATTTATAAAGCTGTATGCGTAAGCTTCAACGCGCTCATTCTTGATCATTGGTGTGCTGTGTCTTTCCTTGCCCCATGTCCTCTAATGTCGATCCTGAGCAAATCAGGAATTTGACTGGTTGGAATGCTGTAACTCTATCAATTGTTAGGTTTGCCTTGGATTTCAATTATACATAATTGTCTTTGGTTCATTTTTGATACCTTTTGTTATGGGTAAAAAACTGTAAGCCTTAGTCAATGACAGTCAACCAGGGTCAAGCGATGAGGACTGGAAGGACGACGAAGACTGACTGGCTTCGACGATCGAAAGAAGCAACAAACTGCTTCCCGACTTTTTAGGAGAAGATAAACGTGAGTGACCAAGTCCACACAACAGCTGTTACAAGCCGTTAGAAGAACAGGCAGAGTGAAGATAATGATGAAGTGGTTCCGAATATTCAGGGGCACTGTTAATCACCTTGCAACGGCTAGTTAGAAACCCTAATTAGCATCTATATAAGGAGAAAAATCGTCCGTCAAGGTCATCTAAGCCTAGCAATTAGAAATATTCCATACCTACATTGTAACCTTAACTCTTTGATATTTTTCGCATAGTGAAAGTTTGGTAGATCCTCATTCTACCCGCGTTTTTTTACCTTCATCAGGTTATCCGTGTCAACAATTTCATGTGTCGATTCTTTATTTTCCGCATTTACTCTATTCGTGGTTTTATTTAGTTGATCTGTAGCCTAGATTTTGATATTCCATCTCACGAAAATTAGCATAAACAATTTGGCGCCCACCGTGGGGCTACAACTAGATAAAATCCAAAAATACCCTAACCCTAGCTTTCGCCATGTCTTCCAATGAGATGACCCCGGAACAGCTGAAAGAAGCTTATGAAAAAGCTCAAGCTGATCTCGTCGCAGCCAGGGAATCCAATGAGTGTCTGAGCAAAGAAAAAGAAGCGTCGAAATCCGATGTTGCCGATCTTCGTCAGCAGCTAGAGTCGGCTAGAGCAATCATCGTCGCCGACCGAGGCAACTGGGTTTTATCCCGAGAATGCCGACTCTAGATATAGTGGAATCCCTGCATGATACTGATACTAAGTCCAGCGATAGGGAAATGCAGATGGATCCTCCACTCCGAAATAGTGATCAGAAGGAAATTTCCAGACTCCAGGAGAGCAGCATACCAATAATCGTGAGCTCAATCAGACTGAGATCTTGCTCCAAAGGCTGATCGCTTTAGAGAGGCAGAATTCCAAGGTGCTGTCGATGATGAAGAGGATGCTAGGTGTTCCGATTCCCGTCTAGAGAGATGCTCCCGATGGGTTTGCAGCGACTCCATTCAGTGATGAGTTGTCCAGGGCTCGGATTCCCAGAAGATTGTCGCTCCCGACATTTACGTTGCTTTATGATGGTACGACTTGCCAGAGCAGCATGTCAAGTATTATAAGCAAAGGATGTGGCAAGCTTCGATCCCGTTCGAGTGTTGGGAGACGTGCATGTACAAATCCTTCGGCGCGACGTTGACTTGGGACGACTTGCCCAGAGCAGCATGTCGAGTATTATAAGCAAAGGATGTGGCAAGCTTTGATCCTGTTCGAGTGTTGGGAGACGTGCATGTGCAAATCCTTCGGCGCGACGTTGACTGGTCCCACCCTTAAATGGCTTGGCAAGCTTGAACCAGGTAGTATCACTAGCTTTGCTATGTTAATTAACAAGTTTTATTCCCATTTTGAAAGCAGCAGGCACTGCAGACGAGCGACTTGTATAGGATCGTCCAAGGTCCCAAAGAAAGCATCAAGACTTAGTGGTCCCGTTTCAACAAAGAGAAGGTGTTAATCAGACTGCCATCGAAGCCTTTCTCCGAGGACTGCATACAGATTCAGATCTGTACAAAGATATGGTCAAATATCCCTGCTCAACATTTAAAGAGGTCCGGACAAGAGCTGTGGACGTTTCGACGAAGATATCGCCAATCGAAGCTCCGGTCAGCGTGTTAAAAGTTCGACTGATCGCAAAGCCGCAGGCACCCCGCGAGGATCGTGGTGACATCGGCCCTATGAAACAATAGATAGATCACGTTCTGTTAATATTGTGCATGTACAACAGATTCTCGAAGCGCCGCAATATCCAGAGATATCCGAATATGGACTTGAGGTGAACATTGTAGCAATGGTGAAAGAGCTGGAGCCCCTGGGCGGCAAAGTTCGATGGTCGACGAAGAGCAACAAGCCCGACTCGGAAAAGGATATGAGCAAATGGTGCGATTTCCATAGCGACCATAGTCACAAGACACAAGATTGCTATGCCTTGCGTAGCGAAGTCGCGTTCCAGCTGAAGAGGGGTAACCTCAAGCATTTGCTCGGAAAAAAGAAAACCGACGCGCCCAGCGACAACAAGCAGGCCCCCAAAGCCACCTAGCTAGAGGTAGTGATTAATGTAATTTCTGGTGGTTCAGATATTTGTGGACTAACCTATTCTGCAGCCAAAAGAATTGCAAAGTCGTCAACACAGAATGCAGATGTCCCAGAAAAATTGAGAGATCCCCTCGAAAAGAAGATGGAAGCTATGGCCATTACTTTCGATGATGACGACATCAACAACATCATCAAAGACCATGAAGATTCCTTGGTGATTTCTCTGATGGTCGGGAATTGTCTGCTTCGAAGGGTGCTGGTCGACGCCAATGTTTTATTCAGGAGCACCATAGAAGATATGGGATTAAAGGATAGCGACGTCGTCAGAAGGTCAACGACCTTGGTCGGTTTCAGTGGTGAGACTATGTTGACTCTCGGAGATATAACCCTCCCAACCTTTGCTGGCGGCCTAAAACCCCAAACCAAATTCAGTGTCATGAACTGCCCTCAGCCTATAATGCCATCATGGGTAGACCATGGATTCACAAATTAAAAGCCATTCCTTCCACCTACTATCAATCAATCAAATTACCGACCCCTTGGGGAATCCAAGGAATCAAAGGTTAACCTCGTGAAACCAAGCACTGCTACAAAACAACCCTAAAACCCTAATTCAATTATCATTGATAAATTGACTTTTGTTGACTTTTTGGAGTTTTAATTAGAATAAAAGAGTGTTTTTAAGGAAAATACGATTTTGTCCTTCTGTACTGCTAAATTTTATCTGACTTTAGAAAACGCGTAAAAAATTTGATTAGCGCCTAACGCCAATCATTAGCGTCTGGCGCTAAGCCTAGCGCTAACTTCGTTTTTTCACGTCGAAACTCTGATTTGTTTTTATATCTTTTTGGCTTATTTTCTCTATAAATAGCCTCCTAAAACTCCATCTACAATCATCTACAATCAAGAATTCTCTAATTCTCTTCTCTCTCGAAGCTAAAGCTTATTTTCTTTCTCTCTGTTTTCTAAACCAACCTTTATACAAAATTCCGCATTCACAAGACCAAGAAACACCTAGCCAAACTAAAAGTTGCCTTCGCCCTAGACGTGAACGGTTTAATTTCTGAGGGTTTGGTCCCTAATCTCTATTTCAATTATTTAATTTAATTGTTTGATTTTATTATTTTCCTTGAAGTTTCTAACGCGTGTATTTTGTTATTAGAAAGAGATACGAGACATCCAAGTAAGTGCTTTAATGGTTTTTATTGATATTATGATGTAGAAATCATGTTTAGGTTGTGATTATGATTCCTAGCGTCATGTTAGGGTGTTTTGATCATCCTAGTATCATGTTTAGGGTAACAACTGAAAAATGCTAACATCAAGAATGATTTAAAGTATGCTTTCTATTTTTTCTAATATTCATGTTAGTATCATGTTAGGGCTAAAGCTTTGATTTTTATTGTTTAGTGACATGCTAGAGTT